TTATAGTACTTTCCAGTAATATAAAATAAAACAACTCGCAATTAAGTAATTAACGGTTAGTTTCGGTGTCTCGAGTCAGTTTAGGGGATTAATTTAAGTTCATTTTCCAATATATAGTCAAAAAATAACTTCATAGATTTTTCTTTTTATTTAACTTATTTGTAATATTATATATATATATTTAATAATATATAATAATTATTTATTTATAATATTATAATTATATCATTACCACAATTGTTACCTATTCAGAGGTAGAGAACACTACAGATCCGATAGAAATTTCTTGAATAAAATTATTGGTTGAAAGGCAAAACTTGAAAAATATTACGAATCCAATAAAAGTTTAAAGAAAAATTTAAATTTAAATTGACTAAAATTAACAGAAGAATAAGAAAAAGGTACACGTTATCAATTAAGGGACCGAAAAATACAAAAAATTATTCAGCACCAAAAAAGTGCATAAGCAAAGTTTAAAAAATCAAATTTAAAGTTAAACCAACTTTATATATCAATTTCAAATGTGATAAAACTATGTCAATTTTCCTCCAGGACAGTGAGATGATTTTAATCCTTGTCCTGGAGTACTTAAAATTTTACAGTTGAGAAATTAAAAAGTTTTTAAAATAATTTAAAATTTAAAATTATTTAAAATTAAAACTTCAAAAAACTAAAATTTACATTTAACTTAACTTAAATCATCTCCACTGAAATTGGGAGGGATGCTCGGTCCCACCATCCTTCTAGTTCTAGCATTTTGCATTCCATTCCGCAAACATTGTCATATATAAGCAAAACCCCCTCTTCAGCCCCTACACTTGTTCCAAGTTAATATGTGAGCCTTTAGATTTAAAAAAGGGTGCAAATTAACTTTCAATCTCCGAGAAAAATATAAATCAGCCATGAATGAAATTGTTTTGGGGTTTTTTATATTATTTTATTAGAATGACGTAGTTTTGTAATTTTTTTCTTAAATTTTAAGAAATTCAGTTGATAAATATTAATATATAAATAATAACTATTTTAAATCTTCAATTTTATTTCATATTTAAAAACAAAAATTAAAAATATAATTAATCAAAATTTTATATTTAAAAACATTAATTAATTTGAACTTTGGATTCGACTTGAGTGGTCCCTAACCCAACTCAATTGAGTTCAAATGATTACAATTCGAGTCATATTTGCTTTTGAGTCAATACGTTCAACACATTACAGATATGTTGAATTAGATTTTTGGATTAAGTCTAATTTTCAATGTTTAGTTTTATGTGTCTCCCTTTCTAGTTAATTTAGTAGACAACCCAGGTCAATATAATGATTGAACATTGTTGAGAGATGAATTTGTATTGCTTTAGGAGTTCATAATCTATGTAGTGCCACGTCAACAATATTGACTTTAGACTTGTGACTAAAAAGGGTCCATATGATTTATTTCTATATTAGATTTGTTATATTTTATATTTTGCTGATGATTGCAATAGAGTTAGCATCGTTAGAAGCAACATTCATCTACTTCATTAGAAATATTGCAGACATAATCTACTTCAATACCATTGTCATATACATGGACAAACATGTGGCCACATTTATCTCCACAACATGGCTGGATGTGTTTTGACAATCATGACCTCTACTACAATATTTGCTGTTACAATTGGCTCCCAATAATGGATAAAAAGCCCATCTTATTGTATAGAAATGACTACCATCAAAGGACAACAAGCTAATTTTATTACATCTATATAGCTCCCGACAATAAACAAATGGCAAGACATTTGTTTTACATATCTTTATCATTGGTTCCCATTAATGGACAACATGTTAATTCTACTACATCTATATAGATTCTGGTGATAAACAAAGGGTCAGGCTTGCTATTTTACTTAGCTTTCAAAAAGGGGCAAAAGGCTACATATTTCTTCACATCTTTATTACACTTGATCTCAGAAGCAAACAAAGGGTCGAATATCTACATATTTTATTTTACTGGCTCCTAAAAATGGATAAAGAGTCAGCACAACTTGGTACGATTAGCGTGAGGCCAATAACAGTTGTAACCCTGCAATTGGTTGGGATGGCTACTCTACAGTGATAAAAATCCATTAAGTTGTGGCCGACGACTTTTTGGTGGTTGCTCGTGCATGATGGTGCGGTGCTTAGTGGGCAAAAACTACTAGGACCATCCTTTAACAGTACAGATATGACAAGAAAGGCTGTCGTTTTATCATACTATCACACCTTGTCCATATCGAAGGCCATTAATATGGCCGGTAATCCCTCTTCCATGGACAACACTCCACCCATTTTTATCATGTTGGAGTTTTGGATTGATGAGATTTATCCCTTTTGTGGCTTGGAGGATTATTGAGAATGTGCTTCCAATTCCACATAGTTCACACTTTAGCCATAGACATAGCTAAGTCACTGTTGTCTGTTTGGCTATGGAAAAGCTATTCTTAGCTGACCCAATGATATTTAACATGGTCAATGGTCATGCACATCATTAATCTTTCTATACAAAAGGACAAAATTATAGGTTATTGGTTATCCCAATCTACAACATATTTCTTCTATATTTTTACGTGTTGGCAAGCATCATCAACTAGTGGCACTTGGCTCAATAGAACAATATTGCAGCACACATGCACATCATTCATCCTCTTTGTTGGCACATCACTAGATTTATACAGCAATATTATATAAGTGCCTCCTATGGCTAGTGAATAAAGAGGCATAATGATGATTATTCTCACCATTCCCTTCAATATACAAAGGAGTGTTTTTCTTTACTGAACATGCTAATACATTTCATACTTATATATTTGAACAAGTACTCACTCATATCTTGCACCTTTGATGCAAATAAACACAAGTCTATGAATCTAATCTCATGGGGATTATTTAGGATAAACCATGAGAGTAGTGGCTTGACAGGCATGAATGGATGAATGTTTCTTGTTTAACAAAGTAAGGCATTCGCACCAGCCAAGTTTGGAGTTGGTAATGTCACTCACCTTTGCTAGGAAAGGCTGGGCGACAAACACACGGAGGCAAAACTTGATCCCAAAACTGCACCATTCGATGCTAATTGGAAGGTTTAGAACCCCATTAAAAATGATCAGAGATGCCATTTGGGTTTTCATCACCAATCTGCAGTTGTATTTAATGTATGGATGGTTGCACAAGTTTTAATGCATGGGAAATTGGTGAAAAAGATTATTTTTTGCTAGGGAAAATCATCAAAATCTTGTATAGATGTGGTTTTGCTGGCAATATACAATTACACACCAAATATGGTATTTCATATAGACCAAGGGTTACCAAGAATAGGAAGTTTTCAGCAAACCAGTAGTCTTTAACTGGAGACGTTGGACAATCCATTATTGCACTTCAAAAGTTGTCAGCAGTGCTTTGATCCACCCAAAACTTGACACCTGTCCTCACACCATCCCAATCTAACATTGATTCATTAGGTTACTTGGCCCCACCAACCCAAAATTACCAAAACACCATTATATATATATATATATATTTGATTTTTGCTTCGTTTCTAAGAGAGGAAGCAGGTTATTCACACAGAAGACACAATTTTCCTTTGAAGAATTCTTCATCTTCAACCTTTTGATTCTTCTACAAAAATCTCCCAAAAATCTCCATTTTTTTAATATTTTATACACTTTCAACCATACATAACACACTCCAAACTTGTAGCACGTCATGGCTCAAGGACTTCATGCTACAGTTTAAGATTCTAGGTTGTCTTTCTTGAGCACCAATGGATCAACTAGCAGAGTTGGCATCAAGACACTAGATCAAATCATCCATTGAAAAGCCCCTACAATAATCATCCTTCTTCCTCTCATCACTACTTTCAAGTTTATTCCTTTTTGTTTTGTGGAAGCTTGAAGAAGATTATTGTGTCTTTAATCACAACATGAGGGCCTATTTTAGAGTGAGAGTATTTGTTAAGAATAGCTTAGGGTACATCTATTGTGTTTACTATTATTTTACAATGTGTTTTATATAAATATGCTTCTCAAGTTGTAACATTTGATCTTTACGTATTTTTTCTATCATTATTACTCTTACCATAACGTACATCTTCTTTTCATTACTTTTGATAGTTATGTAATCATTCATGGCTCTTGAAACTATGTCATCACTACCCAAGTCTTCTAGCTTGGCTAGGGAAATTATACTTTCAGACTTTGTTGGAGAATTCAAACCAAACCATCTTCATTGGATAGAGGGAGACGGCTCGTGGCACATAATTTTCACACATAAAATGAATGCAAGCCAAAAGAACTCTCCTTATCTTCCATAAAGGGTATCCTAGTCAGCTTCCATATCACCATCACTGCTGATTACTCATCAACCCCCTACCCCAACAAACACATGGGAGCATGCATAAGATAAACAATGACAAGAAGAAAATGGAAATTAGAAAACGAAACTAGAGTGGAAATCTGAAATTATTTAGAAAACCAAGGGAAAGAAGAAGAACATCAAATTTCCTACAACTGCTTCCTACAACTGCAACACCCATTTTTGAATTCAAATTTTCCTTAGCATAAGCGTGTTTGATCGGACGCCCGTTAATGAGATTGGCGCCAACTTGCCACACTATGTTCAGCTTCGTCACACCCGTCCGAACTTTCACTGACGCGTAAATTACGTCCTTCCCGCTTGCGCTTGACTCCGCGGTGAGGTCCCACACATCGAACGCCAGCTTGTTTGTCTCCACAATCGAGGAGTAGGAGCTAATGTTAAACATCTTGACGAGCAGAGAGGAGTCAGATTTGACATTTGAGAGCAATCAGTGCCTGGGCTCCTGCCATGCCGATTCCGGTTGGCTTGATGACCCACGCAATCCAATCCTCCGGGACGCTGGCGCTGCCTCGAACGCGACGAGAGGGAGGAGTTAGAGGCATTGTAGTTATAGTGGAGGATGGCGTTGACAGTGGGGAGATTGATGCTGTTGGCGAACGTCTTCTGGATGTTCGATCGGCAGCGCTTCGGGCGGGTCTGTTAAGGAACAGGCGGGTGACATTAGAGAAACCCAGAAGGAGTGGAATAAGATCAGAGACGGAAAGGTCGTGGATGCCATTGCTGTACTCAGTGGAAGGCAATAGCGATGTGGAGCCCGTGGAGCAAGTGGAGCAATAAATAGATAGTGAAAACACTAAAATGGAATTTAAACTTTAGGAAAATGATTATATCCTCTGTTTAATACATTGTATAATATATTGTATAATACATTTTGATTCAACAATTAAAATTTATTGTTAAAAAATTTTCATCATGAATTCAAATTTAAAAATAATACTTCCTTAATAAGTATATTATAAAAAATGTTAAATCGGAATGTATATTAATAATTTTCCTTTTGAAAAAAAAATTATCTTAAAATTAAATTTTTTTAATATTTTCTTTGTTTTCCTTTTGAAAAAAATCTAATATTAATTAGTTATTAAGTAAAAGGATATATTAAACTAATGTTAATATAATACTCTCTTTATTCAACTTTAGTAGAACTAATTTTTTATTTAAAATGTTTAAATTTAGTTGTTTAATTTTTTTTTAAATGTTGTTAATGTACTTAAGCTTATTCCTATTTTAGGCTTATTTTAAAATGATAATTACAACAAATATTAAATAATAAAACTTATTTAAGTAGTGATTAATTAAGGATAGATATAAAATTTCATCAATTAATTATTACATTCATATTTTATTGGACAAGCAAAAAAAAAACAAGGCTTATTAAAGATGAATGGAATGGAGTAAATAATACAAAAAAAATATTTGTGAGCTAAATCTCTAGAAAAAAATGCCTCAAAATTATATTATTTTAATAAATTCTCATTAAAAAAAAGCTTTAAAATCTCTTTTTAAATTATAGATGAAATTATTTACCAAAAAAGAAGATTATAGATGAAATTGTTTTGGTTTTCCCCATGCTAATTTATTAGAATAACACAATTTTGTTTTATTTTTTATTTTTTGAGATCTGATTAATAAATAGAAATATCTAAATAATAACTAATTTAAATATTTAATTTTATTCTATATTTAAAAACTAAAATTAAAAATATAATTAATTAAAATTTTTTATTTTAAAACATTAATTAACTTGAACTTTGAGTTGACGTGGGTGGTTCCTAACCCAACCCAATCAAGTCCCAACGATTACAATTCGAGTCGTACCTGCTTTTAAGTCAACATGTCCAATACATCACAAATAAATTGAGTTAAAATTTTGGGTCAAGACTAATTTTATCAGTTCTAGGATGCCTATCTACATTTTCACTATTTTCATTGTTTAGTTTTCTGTGTCTCCCTTTCTAGTTAATTCGGTAGACAACCCAGGTCAATATAATGACTGAACACAATGGAGCATGCAGGAGATAAACAGTGAAAAGAAGAAAATGGAAATTAGAAAATGAAACTAGAGCAGAAAGCTGAAATTATTTAGAAAACCAGGGGATAGAAGAACATATCAAATTTCCTACAACTGCAGCTCCCTTTTTGAATTCAAATTTTCCTTAGCATAAGCGTGCTTAATCGGACGCCCGTCAATGACATTGGCGCCAACTTGCCACACTATGTTCAGCTTCTTCACGCCGGTCGGAACTTTCACCGACGCGTAAATTACGTTCCTCCCGCTTTCGCCGGACTCCGCGGCAAGGTCCCACACATCAAACGCCAGCTCGTTTGTCTCCACGATCGAGGAGTAGGAGCTAATGTTAAACTTCTTGGTGAGCAGAGAAGAGTCAGATTTGAGTGCAATCAGTGCCTGGGCTCCTTCCATGCCTGTTCCGGTTGGGTTGATGGCCCACGCAATCCAGCCCTCTGGGGACGCTGGAGCTGCCTCGAACGCTACGGAGAGAGAGGAGTTAGAGGCATTGTAGGTATAGTGGATGATGGCATTGAGAGTGGGGAGATTGATGCTGTTGGCGAACGTCTTCTGAATGTTTGGCAGCGTTTCCGACGGGTAGGTGAGGGAACAAGCGGGTGACATTAGAGAAACCCAGAGGGAGAGGAATAAGATCAGAGACGGAAAAGTCGTGGATGCCATTGCTGTATTCAGTGGAAGGCAATAGCGATGTGGAGCAATAAATAGATAGTGCAAAACGCTTAAATTGGAATTTAAACTCCATATAGATCGTGTTACCAAAACTAAAGGTGCGTATAAGCATATAAATTTTGGTTTTTGTTCTATTTAGGGTATGAACTCTTTTTTGTTTCTAAATAACGATAACTTCTTTTTTCTTTTCTTTTTTTTTTTCTAAATTTAAATACAAGTTTTGCATTTTTTTTATTCAAGGATTTGATATGGTCATTCTCTCAAAAGGATTTGGTATAGCAATAATGATGTAACTCGCAATTACACTAAATTTGAAAATAAAAGATTCACAAAATTCATATCTTAATTTAGAAAAAAAATTAAAAAGTAACAGCCTAATTTAAAAATAATAAAGTTCATCTCGTTAATAAAAAAATAAAATTAATATCTTTATGCACAGCTTTACTTGTGTAACCAATGAAAAAACTACATGGTTCATAATCTTGAATGAACCATACGAGATGAAATTATTAGTGTTTGTGCAAGTGATAAAAATGAATTCAAATTATGGTTGAGAAGGCATGCAAGAATGTCTTTATTATTATTTGATGTAAATAATTTTAAGAGTAAAATAACTTAAATCATTGAATAAAGAGAAACTCTCTGCTTCTTATTTTTCAAAAAGAGACCTCTAATGCATCTTTCTTCTCCTTTGTTGGGCAGCATGTTTTGTAGGATCTTTCTAAAGTATGCTTCGTCACTTAGGGGTTTGTTTTGTCGTTCTACATTCTAACTTTATTTATTTATTTTAGATTTTGAATAAAAATCTTTATCCTTCTTGGCTTTCTAATGGAGGTTTCGCTATAATCGATTAGTGTATATAATGTGTGGTGTTTATTGGCCATTTATAATATCAAATCTGAAGATACTTCTTAGATAGATCTTCTCAAGCGGTCTCCTTAGTAGTTGTCAAGATTGAAATTATTAGGGATTGTATAAGGATAGAGGTTCCTATGTTTTTCATTGTTTTTCATTGCTTTATTATATTATATAAAAATCTCATAGTGATGGATTCATGTAAGATTGGATACAAAAACTTGCATGATTTGTTTTCCATGGTTAAAATCTTTTTGTGTGAGTTGTCAAAAAGGTTTATATTATGAATGTAATTTTTATTTACTTATAAAAAAAATAATTTAAAGGATAAAAATTCTTGGCACTAAATTTTAGGATAAAACTTTTGGATGAAAAATTTTCCCCAATTGATTATGTGGGCCCATATGGGATTAGCACCGTGATCCATGGTTATTTTGAATTTGTCTTAAAATTAGATCTTAATTATCGTTATTCTGTATTGACCTGACTCACTATTGATATTATCCACTTTAGTTCATCAGGTTTCATGATTTTAAAACACATCAACAAGGGTTAACAAGTGTTGACTTATATACTCAACATCTCTCTAGCTCTTTGTCAGTGTTAGATTTGCCTTGGAGTGTCACATACACCTCCCTTCAAGACTCAACATTCTCACTAAGGTTTGCCCCACCACCATTCAAGAGATCACACGGAATGGCTTTAATACCATATGTAACAACCTAACTCACTATTGATACTGTTTGCTTCAGCTCATTGAGGCTCATGGTTTTAAAATGTGTCAATAAGGATTAATACTTGTTAACCTATATACCTAGTATCCCTTCTATGCTTTGTAAATGTAAGATTTGCCTAGGGATGTCACAATTTGACAAATCTAAAGGCAATTAAACCAAGTATTGAAATGGGCTTCTCCACTTTCTTTTTTGAAATTTATTAGTTCATCTACTTTTATGCTTAAATAAATTGCCTAATGTACTTTTTTTATTGAAATAAATCAATAAAAAATTTAATAGATGACATCATTATACATCAAAATTTTGTGGAATTCATTACCCAAAATTTAACAGATGACATTGTTACACGTCAAAATTTTGTGAAATTCATTACATAGATGTTAAGGTCTTGATAATTTGGCATGTGTGGGCCCCATTAATGGGACACATAAATTTTTTCTATTGAAAATTGATGACTTGAAATATTTCATGTAACCAAAAATTTTATTTGCAATGCCATCAAATAATGTTCATATTAGCAGAAAAAATTTCCATGTCATATAAACAAGACCTATGTACACCAAATCATCAAGAACTTAGTGCCTATGCAATAGGTTTTGCGATATTCTGACTTGTCATGATATTATCTGTTAAATTTGGGTTAATACATTTCAATCAAAAAGTATGTGAGGCAATTTATTTCAATATACAAGCACGTAGGTTGATAAATTTAAAAAAGAAAAGAAAAGAAAAGAAAAGAGTAAAGGGGTTTATTTCAATAAATCCAAAAAGTACAAGGGCTTAAGTACCCTTTTTGCCTTGTGAAAACATTCATAAGCCATAAATGATAAGCAAAATTTAGAGTCTTCTTTTTTTGTAATAAATAATAAAAACTTTATTCGGCAATTTAACAATTTGGTATTTACAAAGTAACTCTCTTAAAATATTTATGGTTGGATTTTTTTTTTTATTGAAATGGAGAAAAAGTATGCATAAGAATATGAATTTTATTATTATTTTATTTAAAATATAAATTTTTGAGTTTTTAAATCAAGTAATAAATTTTTATATTTCTAAATAATTATGCTAATTTTTTTATTTTTTATTTAAAGATTTATTAAATGACAACGATGATGTGGTAAATAACAATTTTAATCAAAATA